TTTTCGCTTACTTTTCGCTTTGTGGCCAGCGTTTGATAAGGTCCCAAGAGTGACTGCAGCAGAATCCCATTCTTTTCAAGCTCAAGCTTTATTGCATTGTTTAATGTAGAAATACTGATGCAAGGCAACACTGAAACTCTGTTTTTCCAGTTCTCCTCCACAATCCTTCAAATGCTGGGAAAAGTGAGGAATGAGTGTGTGTAGCACAGTAAAGTGAGGGATGGATGTTTGTAACACAGTAAAGGATCTTCTTTCTTTACAGGTATGCCTGTATTCTGGGATTATAAATCAAATGCCTTTTTAAAAAAGGGGGGGTCTCTTTGTTTTAGATTGTGTTACTATTTTAGCCTACATCTGTCTGCAGTTATCAGTTTGATCACTTAATTTGGTCAGATTTTACAAGATTCAGAAGCAATTTAGACATCTTCTCAATATTTATTTATTTATTTATTTTCATGTATATGCTACCTTTCTGCCTAGAGGGACCCAAGGCAACTCACAGACAAAACATTTAAAATTCTCAGTAAAATTCAAAACATTTAACTCATCTACACACAATATAAAATCACATAAAAACATACAAAAGTTAAAAACATAACTAAAAGCCCACTGGCTCCATAAAAACCACCCTGCTATGCATTATATACCAAATGCCTGCCTGCATAAAAACATTTTTACTTGCCAGTGAAAGGCCAGCAAGGAGGGGACCAGCCTAGCGTCCTGAGGAAGGGCATTCCAGAGGCTGGAAGCAGCCACTGAGAAGGCTCTCTCCTGTGTCCTCACCAAGCAAGCCTGTGATCTTGGTGGGACCGAGATAAAGCCTTCTCCTGAAGGTTTTAGGGCTCTAGCAGGTTCATAGGGGGAGATACAAATGGGATGTAATCAAGACATGTGTCACCATAGCCAGATCTGACATCTCAAGGAATGGGCGCAGCTGGCACACTAGTTTCAACTGTGCGAATGCACTCCTGGCCAATGCTGAAACCTAGGCATCCAGGCTCAGAGTTGAGTCCAGGAGCTCACCCAAGTGGCATTTCAGGGGGAGTGTTACCCCATCCAGCACAGGCTAAATCCCTATTTCCTGATCTTCTTTATGACTGACCAGAAAGACCTCTATCTTGTCTGGATTAAATTTCAATTTGTTTGTCCTCATCCACTCCATTACTGACAGCAGACAGTTCAGTTCAGTTCAGTACAGAGACAGCTTCCTTGGAATCAGATGGAAAGGAGAGATAGAGTTGGTGACACCACACCCCAAAACTCTGGATGATCTCTCCCAGTAGTTTAATGTAGATGTTGAATAACATGAGGGACAGAATCAAATCCTGAGGGACCCCACAGGCCAACAGCCAGGGGGTCGAACAGGAGTTTCCCAACACCACCTTTTGCATTCATCCCTCCAAGAAAGACCAGAACCACTGCACAATAATGCTCCCAAGTCCCATCCCTGAAAGGCAACCCAGAAGGATACCATGATTGATGGTATCAAACACTTCCAAGACGTCCAGCAGGACCAACAGGGACACACTCCTCTTGTCCAGCTCCCTGTGTAGGTCATCCACCAAGCTTCCTCTGTACCATAGCCAAGTCTGAAGCCAGATTAATCCTACCCCATGTGGGTGCAAGCAACAAAGGCGTTTTCCTCCTGAAACAGCCTACTTGGCATCCTGCCAAGCCATTCCATCTCCAAACTTGCAGCCTTGTATTGTAAGGAAACTTGTAGAAATGCCCTTAAAATAAATGCTTTGGAATTTGTTTAAGTAAAGTAAAGCTGACATATGTTTATGTTGGAATAAATAGAAATCTTTGCTCCATGACAATTATAGCAGTCGGTATCATCTGCTAATTTTTGGTATAATATGCCTATTAAAAATAGCCATGACTGAGCCCCATCCATAATTTACTATAAATGTTTGTATCAGTGATCAACCCAGATGCAGTCAAGAAGTCACTCTTCTTTCTGTTTTGCTTAATGAAATTCCATACATACAAATAAACATTTAACATAATTTTGCCCAATGAAGCTAGCTCCTGTATTCCTTATACTCCAATATTAACATAAATTTAACTGAGTTTCACATAAGAATGGGCCCTGCTGCTGATTTGACTTCCAACTCCACACCCAAAAGAAGATTTTCAGTGGCTTAAGCAAATGCATCATTAACTTGTGGAATGATTTAAGGTGAGATATATAGATCTGATAAAACAATCCAGAAATTTACAGAGTATGTAGCCCTGAATTCTCAAAACCCATGCTGGGTTTAAAAGGCAGGAAAAACAGCAACTAATACTAAATGATTTACTAAAAGTATGTCAAATATTAAAAGAAAGTTACAGTGGGCCCATGGGTGTCCACCATGGTTTGGTTCCTGGACCCCTTGTGGATATAAAAATCTGTGGATGCTCAAGTCCCACTGTATATAGTGGTGTAGTAAAATAGTGCAGCTTATATAAAATGGCAAAATCAAGAGTTGCTTTTTCGGTTTATATATATATATATATATATATATATATATATATTCAAACTGTAGATGGCTGTATTCATAAATGCAGAATCTGTGGATATGAAGGGGTGACAGCATTTTCCCCCTGTTGTTTTTGAAGATACATAAATAACTAATCTCTGAACTGAGATTGCTCAATTACATCCTCCAGACCATCTCCAGATGATGTTTTCCAGCAAATACCTGAGTCCCACAGTTCTTCTCCAACTGCTAGGTTATTTTTGCAATTATAGAAAGTATTTCTTAGTACTTCATTCTTCCTCTCATCATTTTTCCACCCAAGAAATGACTACTTCACTTACTCCTTACATATATTTAAGGTTGCCATATTAACGCCCAGAGAATTTTTCCTCAACAAAGCAGTTCTCCTTCTCCCTGTCCTCTAGGTCTACAATAGGCAGCAAAACAAGTGTAGACAAAGGGACCCCACTGTCTGCCTGGCTCCTGTAGTTATATGAAGCTAGTTCTGGTTACACTAAGGCTAGTGTGGTCAAAGGAAGCTAGTCTTGGTTACTGTAGTCAGCTGTCACTGACTATTCAGCTACAACTGTCAACCTTTCCCACATTGTTATTGCCTACTCCTGCAGCCCACATAGTCCAAACAGGTGCATCAGAGGCCATACAAGACTAAATTCCCCTTTCTATGTCAGGATAAGACAATTTATTTCTGTAGAGAACTTGGAAAATTTACTTTTTGGGAGGAAAACTACCACAACCCTCCAGCTACTATGGATACAAGCCACAGTAACTGGGGATTCTTTGAGCTGTGTGGCACAGGAGAAAAGCAGGCAACTGCCCTACAGTTGTGAAAGAATCTGCTACCTACTGACCATGCTTGGGTTCTTGTACACATCCCTAAAAGGTAGTGCTTCAGATCATATTATATCCACATTTTAGTTTTTTTTTCCCTTTGACACACTTTCATGACATAGCTTTATAGACGAGTTACCACTGTGGTTCTGTTTTTGAAATGTTTATCTGAAAACCTTAATGCAAACCAACAGACCATAAAACCTGGAAAGATATGATAGTGGCTGCCAAGGGAAAAGCTTTAATGATTAATATGATTATATAATTCACATTTATTACACAGGGAAGGTGTTCAAAATCTGGAACCCAAACAACAGAGCAATGCTGCTGTAATTCACAGAAGAAGGAACAGGTAAAGTTGTAGCCAGTCTACAGAAAGGAAGGTCACTTTTTATTTCAAAGCAAGAAGCTACAATACACTAAAAAAGAGAGTTTGCCCAAATAAGAAGCCCTGCTTTCTACATCAGCCCTCTCCCAGGATGGTCTGATACTGTCCACATCACCATCTCCCCTGCACTTCCAATGACCACCAACTCCAAAGGTTCATAAATGGCCCATTTAAGACAAAGAGGGCAGAATTTTTTTTGGGGGGGGGACAGCAAAAACCTACAGAAAGATGATATTGCAGGACCTTATTCCATATTACTCTGTAAACTATCTTGAGAACATTTTTTGAAAAGTGGAATATAAATATTGTAAGCAAATAGCTGTTGTAATCAAACAGATAGATGCATCATTCTGTTTTAGTATAAAACAGCATAAAGGAATCTAGCAGCACCTTTCAGACTTGTTTATTCCAACATCAGAGGAAAGGCAGTCCACAAATGCTTATGCTAGAATAAACCAGTCTCAAAAGATCCTTTTCTGTCTTTTAAAATATAGTATGTTGTAGTATGACTCAGAGCCAGCGTGTCACAGTGGTTTGAGCATCGGACTACAAATCTGGAGACCAGGGTTCGATTCCTGGTGACCTTAGGCACACACTCTCAACCTCAGGGGAAAGCAATGGCAAACCTCCTCTGAGCAAATCTTGCCAAGAAAATCCTATGACAGCTTCGCCTTAAGGACTCCATAAGTCAGAAATGACTTGAAGGCACACAATACAGACAGTATGACTCAGTGCTTGAAAAATTTAGTCATGTTGACTGGGTTATTCTGGGAGTTGCAGCCCAAAAAGGTAATGTTCTCATATTCTGGTGCATCCAAAGGGAAAAGAAATGAGATTCTACAATGTACTTTTAGTTGCACAATGTATTTTGTCCATTAACAATAAGAGAGGTGAAGCTTGATGGTGTGAATTGTAAACAGCCAATTGGAAATCAGCTCTCCAGGACCAAGAAGGCCTCTTGCATCTTGCATCTCCTTTGACAGTTAGTAACTTTAACATTTCTGCACAAGAGGCTGTTGTGTAATCTTAAAAGGAGTCAAGTCTTTACTTAAATGCACCAGCAAGGGGTGCTTGTGGAAGGAAGAAGACATGTAATTCAGGAGCTCTTTGTTATAATGTAGATATATGTTTCCCACCTTTGTGAAAATTCATCCATGTTTGGGACTAAGGACATGTTTGACAAGTGCAGCAATGGAGACAGAAGGCATTCTGTCTCAGTGAGGCAGTGAATCCATTCTGGGGCTTAGTCCAGATGTTAAAGGAGCTATTCAAGGTGCTAATTACACAACCAACATTTATGTGACGAGATTCTAGAGTAGACTATTATTATGAGACTAGAAAGCTAACAAGGAGGTGGGCATGGCTGGCCCTAATAGTACACAACTATGAACCACCAAACAACAATAACAACAAAACACAAAACCCTAATATATGAAGATTGCTGATCAACAGTAGGCTGGTACACAAGGTACAAGTACAAAATTATATGTATGGGAAAGAACAGAAAAATATGATGATCAATTAATTTAATTTAGTGAATTCTTAAAGAAACATGTCATAAAAAGTTCATAGAACAGTTTTTAATACTCAATATACTGGAGCAATAGTAGGCAGACTACAGCAGTCACTCATTAAGCAGTTTTGGGATGTTATGAAAGGGAAGTTAAATCTGCTATTGTTGAAATATTACTACCAGGGATAGGGAGAGAGGATTGAGAAAATTCTGCCTCATGTGTACTATGCAAACTGACTTGGATAGAGGACAGGATATTAGCTGTTCTGCCTTGAGCAGAAAAGTTTCTTGGGCTGGTCCCGAAGATGGTCATTTCCCATTCTTATAATTTCTGGGTTTCGCTGCACTAAGACTGTGATATTATACCAAATTCAACACATAAACTGGACCAGACCAGTCAAATCCAGTTAGCAAGATTCATTCCACTATAACCTTGCATATAAATGACATGTTCAAGCCAAAGTCAAATGAAGATTGCAGAAAGATGCCCAAAGAATTCATCCACAAGTGAACAAGAGTAACTGTGCATTTCATTTAACAATCATGCTTCCTGCAAATATATAAGTGTTCCATTGGTGTTTCCCCAATATGTTTAGACCCATAAAGCATATACAAGAGGCACATACTCTTTAAAATCCTGATGCACATACTAGGAAGCTGCAGCATCTGGACACAGCTATGCATTTGTTATTCACATTTTATGTTTCCTGCAGGAAACATCACTAACACAGTGAATCTGCAGCAAACATGGTTCAAGGTCCTATCTCAAGCAAGCATAGGCAGAGTGTAACATTCTCCCCATGTAGTTCATGTCCTCCTTCCTGCCCTGTTGGGTTCTCAGGAGAGACTGTTGGTGCTGCTCTTTACCAATGGGGATGGGAAGGAGATGAAGGCAATTCAGAAGAGGAAGATACAACTGGTCTAGGCTCATAGGGGGAAAGAAAGAAGGGTGTGTGCGCAAACACGTCGCGACTGCCATTTTGACTTTCAAAATGGCGATCGTTGCGAGCGCACCCAAAAACGCACTCTGACGGCGGTGCGTGGTGGCGGCGACACCAGCTACCTTCGGCTGCTGCTTGCCGCCGTCGGAGAGCGTTTTCGGCCGCGCTCGCGGCAATTGCCATTTTGGGAGTCAAACTGGCGGTCGTGACGCGTTTGCGCATGCGCAGTATTCTTGTGCATGCGCAAACGCATCACGACCGCCATTTTGACATCCAAAATGGCGGCTGTGACATGCGCCGTGGCGGCTGGAGCTGCGCGTGCTGCGGCAGCGGTAGCGGCGGCGGTATGTGCAGGGGGGTCGTGCGCGGAGGAGGAGGGTGCGCGCACGTGCGCATGAGCGAGCGTGCCACCATTCCCCCCCCTCGGCCCAGCCGAGACCTGGGTGACGGCAGACCGGCCCAGGTCTGAAAAAGGTTGCCTGTCGCTGATGTAAACTATCAGAAGACAGAAATGATGCATATCCTCATTCATCCTTAGTTCCACCGTTAGATCCAGATGTAGATCTAGAGTAGATACTCCTAGGAGCAGGAGTGGAGATTCTGTGGCCTTCCAGATGTTTTAGACCATTGCTTCTTAAGATAGTTGATGTAATAAACTGGTAGGTTCTTCTTCCCGCTTCCTGGTGGGCCTAAGGTTCCAAGTCTCAACTGTAGGAGATAAGTATCCTGGCTGGTATTCTATATTGCAGTTACAGAGTAACAAACTAGAGTTACACATGTCTAATTGCTTTATATTCACCAAGACAACATTGCTACAATTGGTGCTATTGTCATTATTGTAAATGCCCACACCCCCATCCGCCTTAACAGCTAGCAGTACATTGATTGGGGTACAAGGAGGTTGAGGTTTCCAATCCTCTTTCACCAGCAAGCAAGGCTGCAGCGAGGAATTGTCACAGGTTCCTGCTTCCGATTGTCACAACCTGCTTGCTGATAGGAGGGACTGGGAACATTCTCCTCCTGCTGGCTGTTAAGATGGGTTTGGGGCCAGGAAGCTTACTTAAGTATGCCTTCATAAATAAGTAGCCAATGTAGGCCACCAAGGTTTCATTCTTCTGTCCTATCATCATTGTTTCCTCCTAAAATCTCTGACTAGTCTCTAGTGATATCCAGAATTAAAGCTTTGAAAAATTTGGGGACTACAGCTCCCAGAAACCACCAGTTAGCATGGCTGGTGGCTATGAGTTATAATCCCAAATGTGGCCAACCTCTGGCCAGAATTACAAAGTGCATAAGTGCTATTCCACTCTAGCATGACAGTTACTCCAGCCATACATCATTCAAAGCAGGTGAACAGCAAAAGTATAGCAAGTGGAAAAAGATGGTTGATCTCAAGATGATGAGTGTGTCCAAGCTGGTGACTAAGGGAACTTAACATTCTTGAAGTTTTTTTTGATGTATTGGTGCCCTTGTAGAAGGCACTGATGAGATCATGTCTGAAATCAAAATAACCAAAGGCATGGAGAATATGTCATATGAACAGAGATTTAAAGATTTCAGATGCTCAACTTGGAGAAAAAGGAGTCTGAGGTTGCAGTCATGTAACTATTTATCTGGGAGTATGCTCCAGAGAATACCGTGGGATTTCTCAGCAGATCTTTCTGTGAGGTGACTTTCTACTATGGTATTAGAATAGGGAAAACAAAAGAGATTAAAGATGACTATGGATAAAATAGCCAACTATAAATAGTTTAATAACAAATAAAGGTTCAGAAGGACCTTTGAAATAGTTGTTTACACAAAGAAGCTTGCTGCATTCAGGTTCAATTTAAATGCATTTACCAATATATCCATTGTACACTGAGATTACAAAAGGGTAGTCAGTTCTCTTCATGAGATACTGGAATTTAATTCTGAATCTGACTTCCTCTTGGGGCGACAAGTACTGTCATGACCAAGAACAACATGTTGTATGGTATGGAGGGGTGTGTGTGTGTCAGTTAAATTTTCCTTGTGATAATGATTTGATGAATGGGTATTTTTGTTTTTATCAACTGCCTTCATGTCAGTCTTGACTCATGGCGACCCTATGGATGAGACATCTCCAGGCCCCCCATCCTCTACCGTTCTGCCCAGCCCCTGCAAACTCATTTTCGTGGTCTCTTTAATAAAGTCTAGCATGTGGCCTTCCTCTCTTTCTACTTCCCTCCAGCTTTCCTAACATTATTGTCTTTTCCAACAATTCGTGCCTTCTTGTGATGTGTCCAAAGTACAACAGTCTAAAGTCTTGTCATCTTGGTTTCTAGGGGTTACACCAATGTAATCCCTAGAAGCCAATGTACACTAATGCTTTGCCATTTTTGGATGTTGGAAGGCATTTTTTCCCCAGATGACCATGGTAATGCATGGTATTATTTTGCAATTTAGGGCTATTAGAGTTAAAAGAGGAAATGTGTTCCTGAGCATTACTTGTTAAACAGACAATTTGGTACCAGAGGCAGAAATAATGTGAAAGGCATTATTTCACAGAAATAATGTGAAAGGCAGAAGGATAGGTTCCTACACCACAAGCAAAGAGCACTTCAACCGGTTTCAGCAAGCTTGTTATTCAAAACTAATAAAATGTACATATAAAATAAAAAGCCAGGTCAGGTGAACCTTGCATGAGTAGACAAAAGCAATTTTGACCTTTCTAGCAAGCACTTGGAGGATTCTTTCAAAATGTATCCAGGGATGACTTTTTATTTTATTCTGATTCCCACTTTGGTGGCCAAATGTATAGACCTGTTTTCTTTAATATACTGAAAGTAGCTAGTGAGGCTTATCTGCCCTCCTTTTTTCCCCTCTCTTGTTGTTCATCATGCTCAGTAAGGGATTCTGGAGGCAGGTGCTGTTTGCCTCGCAGGCAGACACTGCTACAAGTTTTATTTCATTGTTTACTGTGGACATGATACTCCAGTCCTCCAAATGCTGATGCTGCCTGATGTACCCTTATAAATTAAGATGTACAACAAGAGTTTTCAGGAGACATGTACTACCTTAATTCATCTTGCTTCCAATATGAAGCAAGTGGCAACAACTGGCCAAAGTTAATTAATTAATTAATTCACACAGATTGTCATACCTGGTA